TCATTTCAATAATGCTGGGACAACTGGATATGCAAATGCAAAAGAAAGAAGCTGAACACCTACCTCACACCATGTATAAAAATTAACTAAAATGTCAACAACTTCAACTTAAGAACCAAAACTATAAAAATTCTGAAAAAAACATAAGGGTAAATGAGCTTGCCTTAGACGATGGTTTCTTAGACATAACCCCCAAAATACAAGCAAGCCCCACAAAAAAGAGAAATTGGACTGCATCAAAATTTTAAAGTTTTGTATATCAAAGGACGCCATCAAAAAAATTAAGACAACCTACAGAATGAAAGAAAATATTTGTAAATCTGTATTGTGTGTGTGTATGTGTGCGTGTGTGTGTGTGTGTGTGTGTACCGGGTGGGGCAAAAGTAGGTTTACAGTTGTGAGTATGCAGAAGTTTATTCTTGTATTATTATTTATTAATTCCCAAATGAACTATAAACCTACTTTTGCCCAATCCTGTATATAATTTTTTGTATTTGGCTCTGCATCCCAGAAAGCTATTATTTCTCTGTCTTAATTACCCCAGGGCCAGGTACCAGGCATTTGATAAGCCACCCAAAATTATTCAAACTAGCTATTCTTAAACTGCTTGCCCTGCCTTTCCCCTCAGACACCCCGATAAAGGCCATGTCCTAAGTACTCCCCCAGGCTCCTGACCACCCTGGCATCTTTCCCATGTGACCCTGTATGTGCAGTGCCTCCTGTGTCTAGGACATTTGAGTATAATAAGTTGTTTCCCTGAGCCTCTGTTGTGTCTCCTTTTGTGACTACACCTGTCGGTAAACCAAAATTAATCTTAGACTATAATAAAGAATAAAAAGCATTTATGTGAGCAAAAGGAGTTACAGTCCGGAGACACAGATTCAATTAACAACCTAAATTGTGTTCTACCAAGACAAAGGTTCCTGCCCAGGTTCTAAGTTAGGTCCGTTTTTTGTAAATGAGGTATCCAAATTGTACAGTTCTGATTAGAGGGCAGGTCTCGGTCCATTGGTAGAAAAATGAAACCAGGGTTTCCCTGCAGTGATTGACGCAGATTATGTAAACAAGCAGGACATAGTGTGGGAAGCCAAGAGTTCAGTCTGAGGTTCTTCCTGGTATACAGAGTATGGGAAGAGCCCCTGACAGCAAATAGCCAAAAGACTCTTACTAGTCATAAAATTTGGGCCCTCGGTTTGAGGCAAGTTAGTAAAAAGCTAGGAAAATTCCCTGGCAAGTGAAATGGGGAAACAGAGAGTTAAACAAATATCCAAGCAACTAACAGCCAGCTAATAAATCACAAGACCCTATCCTCCCTAACCAATTGTCACGGGAAAGGGACCAGGACCGAGGACGGTCTGCCCTGGCACAGTCTGTAATATGTGGGTTCCTAATTTTGTGCAGCAAAGATTTCATGACAGGAAAAAAGGTAATTTTGAGTACGTTATGAAAGCTGGGGGCAGTGAAACAAAGGAAAGGCCTAAGATAGAAGAGGCAAGATCATAGCAATAGGAGTGAACCTAGATGGAGCTGCCTTGGCCCTTTGGAAAGGTGAGGAACAGTCAGGCCTAGGCAAGGCTGCCTTAGCCCTTTTAGAAAGTCACGGGCCCTGGCCAGTTTGGCTCAGTGGTTAGTGGACTGAAGGGTCCCAGGTTTGATTCTGGCCAAGGGCACATACCTCAGTTGCAGGCTCGATCCCTAGCCTCGGTCAGGGTGCGTGCAGGAGGCAACCAATCGATGTGCCTCTCTCACATCGATGTCTCTCTTTCTCTCCTTCCCTCCCTCTTTCTCTTTGAAAAGCAATGGAAAAAATATCCTTAGGTGAGGATTAAAAATAAATAAAATTTAAAAATAAAATAAAGGAAGTCACAGAGGCAGAAGTGATCCACATTGGGCTGCATGGACTCAGGAAACAAGTTACAGAGGCAAAAGGAGGGCCCTTGAAGACAGGTTCAGGGGGTTAGCCCAAAATGAGCCTGCTCCTCACTGCACCCTGGTTGCAAGTCTCCTGGGAACCTTAGGGCTTAGAAAAAAGAAAGCAAAGATATATGCCTGAGGAAAGAAGGGGAGATGAAGGGTATGCTCAAGGGAGAGTGGGTACTGGGTCCTTTGTTTTAAGTGTTTTTATGTTTTCAAAAGTCAGGAATTTTAGGGGAGATCTGGGAGGGTGTCAACAGAATATTCAACAGCTTTCCAGCTGTCCTTTGATATGCTGATGCATCAGAATGGTCATTCTCTGGTCAGTTTCACCTTCAAAGAATGTCACCAGAAAGGGACTGGAATCCAGGCTGGTCTGCCCTCTGCACGTCCTGGAATGCATAAACCATTTGCTCCTGTGTCCTTGGTTAGGGAAGACAAGATCTTGTAATTAGCTGGCTGAAAGTTGCTCTGCCATCTGTTTAGCTATTTGTCTTAGTTTCCCCATTCCACTTGCCAAGGAATTTTCCTTTCTTACTAACCTGCCTCACAAGGACACGTAGGAACAAATGGTTTACAGCTCTCCTTCCCAACCAGAGAGTAGCTTAAATCACCCTGGTCAAGGAGAGAGAACAGAGACCCAGTTAGTGCCATTAGTGCCAGCCAAACCCAAGAACGGATGACATCAGGGGAATAAATAACAGAACAACAAAACAATTAGAACCAGATGAACCCAAGATAGAGGTGAAGCTGACAGGAGAATGATCCCAAACCCCTCTAACATGCTCATTTTGATGCAGCAGCTTATTAGAGGATACACCTGGAAGGCTGATGAATATTCTGTTGAGATCCTCCCAAGACCTCCCCTAAAATTCCCACCTTTAAAAAACAGATAAAACCCCTCAAAACAAAGGACCCAGTGCATGTTCTCCCTTGAGCATGCCCCGGCCTCCCTTTCTTCAGGTGTGAACTTTTACTTTCTCCTAAGCTCCTAGGGCCCTCCTCTTGCCTAACTTCTCAGTGAGCCGAAAGCAGCCCCACCTTGGCTCACTTCTGTCACGGTGACTTCCTTTCCTGAGTGTAGGCAGCCCAGCCTAGGGTCACTTCTGTCACTGTGACTTCCTTTCCTGAGTGTAGGCAGCCCAGCCTAGGGTCACTTCTGTCACTGTGACTTCCTTTCCTGAGTGTAGGCAGTCCAGCCTAGGCTTACTTCTGTTACTGTGACTTCCTTCCCTGAGTCTACCTCTATCCTAAGGCCTACCTTTGTTTCACTATCCCAAACTTTAATAAACATACGCTCAAATCACCTGGACTCGTGTCTAGAATTCTTTTCTTCGAGAAGTCAAGAACTCACATATCTCAGACCGTTCCAGGGCAGACCTGCCTCAGCCCAGCCCCTTCCTGGTGACAAGCTGACCATGGGGAGTACATCTCAGCAGATGAATTTCTTCTTGGGTCCACATGACTGATCGTATCATAAAAGAATACAGAACAAAATCACATCTGATAAGGGTCTACTATCCAGAATATATAAATAACCCTACCACTCAACAATAAAAAGACAACCCAATCTAAAAACTTTCCCAAAGAAGATACGCAAATGGCCGGTAAACACAAGGAAATATCTCATGAGTCACTAGGGAAATGCCAATCAAAACCACAATGAGATGCCCCTTCACATCCACTAGGATGGCTATAATCAGACCGACAAGGATAGTGCTGGTGAGGATTAAGAGAAATTAGAAACCTCATAGCTGCTGGTAGATGCTACTGCTTTGGGGAAGTTTGGCAGATCCTCAAAAAGTTAAACATGAAGATATCATATGATCCAGCAATTCCTAGTTCCACAGCCAAGAGAACTGAAAACGTATCTACACAAAAATTTGTACAAGAATGTTCATAGCAGTATTATCCATAATAACCAAAAGGTGAAAACCCAGATGTCCATCAATTAATGAATGCACAAACAAAATGTGTATCAATAATGGATTATTCAGCCTTTAAATAGATGACATATTGATTCATGCTCCAACAGACAGGTCTTAAAAACAGTATGCTAATTGAAAGGAGCCAGACACCAAAGACCACCTATTGTATGATTTCATTCATATGAAAAGCCCAAAACAGGCAGATCCAGAGAGACAGAGTATAGATTAGTGATTGCCATGAGCTAGACAGGAGGCGAGGGAATGGGGAGTGATTACTCATGGGTATAAAGTTTCTTTATAGGTGATGAAATGCTCAAAAATGGTGGTAATGCCTGCACAAATTTGTAATTATGCTAAAAAGTACTGAATTGTACAGTTTAAAAGGGTGAATGGTATATGAATTATAGCTCCAGTTTAAAAATCTATTGCTCATCTTTTCTTTAATACCTTACCCTCCTTTCTCATCTTTACCATATCTCATCGCTGTTACATTTTCAAAACATAGATCAAAAGCAAACTTTTTCAATGAAACTTTTTAAAAGCAATTAAATCTATCTTAGCCTATTATCCTTCTACCCATGTATGTTGCCTTTGCCTCATATTGCAATTATACCTAAGTCTCTCTCTAGAGTAAGGTTGTGTCTTACACCACCTTGTATGCTCCTTAGTACTTACAAAAAACAAATGTACACTGAATTTTACTTGATATTTACTATTCTTCCCTTCAATTTTTAGCACAATCATTCATCAAATTTAAACATCTGCTTTGTGCTGGAGATGCACAAAGAACAAATAGGGTTCTTATCCTTAGCAGAATTTATAATCTAACATTTACAATTTTTTTGGATCCTAATTTTTGTTTAGAATCCCCACTAGATTACAAACTTCCTTTGTATTTTCCCTATTTATTGTAATGCTCAACATACTCAGTAAGTAATTGCTCGGTACTGAGGATAAACCAATGGGTTTTGAAATCACCCTGCTCTACCACCAATACTTGAGTTCCTGACTAACTTCTCCAGAGTAGCATCGATTCTGCCATGGAGATGCTTTAAGCCTCATTAATTGAGTACCTCTTATGTGTTAAGCTTCACTGTCTTGAATTATAATTAAATTGCAACTAATTTTAAAGTCTTTCATAAATATATATATATTTAAAATCAGGGGCCAATAAAGGTATTTAGGGAGTTTTAGTAGACATAAATGTAGGCTATGTATTTTATGCATATAACACCTACTCCCATTTTTAAAAGTTGCTACAGGCAATACTAATCTATTTTCTATGTGTACAGGTGTTTATGAGTACATAATACCAATTTATATAAAATAAGATGTAAATTAGTCTAGGTTAAAAGAGCTAAATTTTTTAAAAGTAATACAGTTTTGAAATACCACCAATTCTAACTGTCCAATGGACCTAGTAGAACGTTAGCAGGCAGGATTTTTAGCAACCTTTTTAAAAATTCAGTATTATTACACAAAATTAGAGATTGTTGTGATTTTTATTCAATTTGGTATCCTGATTAGAATAAGAGCAGTGAGAAAAGTATGCTTTACAAACATTCCATTTATACTACATTATGATTATGGCTTTACACTGATTGTATATAGAGAAAAAATAACATTGGAATTAAGGCAATAACCACATGTGCAAACCAAGCACAGCCCTGACACAGTCTTTAATAAAAAGCTCTTTTGGTTACATTGATGGCTGATATTGCTGCATGCAGGTCAGTCACTGCTTTAAAGGGTAAGCTTCGAATAACTTCATTCATTTAAAAAAAAATCCCTCCTACTGGCCCACGATGGCTAGAAGAAGCCTTCGGTAATCTCCGCTTGTGTCACTTGCAATCATTGTGCCCAGGGTCTTCTGATACATCTGACAGAATATCTGTTTTATTTGTACAAGGTCAATCTGCATGCAAAAGATGATATTTTTAATGTTAGGAAAAAATCTATCAAAAGAAAACTGGTATTTCTTAGAATTATTCTTTGATAGTGAAAAGATCCTAATTATAATCAAAGCAGAGGGAAAACACCACCAAAAGACTGATGTTTTACAGCTAGCACTCATACTAGTGCTAGTATCACCCAATAAAGGTCTGATTCAGATTCACTGTTCTGTGAAAACACTAGATAAGAATGGTACAAGTCTAATCTATTATTCCAATAGTATTAGTCATTTAAAAACCATTTGATAAGATGGCTATTATGAAAAACACAGAAAATAACAGGTGTGGGTTGGCAAGGATATGAATCGGAATCCTTGTGGACTGCTGGTAGGACTGTAAAATGGTGCAGCCACTGTGGAAAATGGTATAGTGATTCTTTAAAACAATAAAATAAAATTGCCATATGATACAGCAATTCCACTTCTGGGTTTATACACAAAAGTGAAAAGCAGGGACTCAGACTAATATCTGTAAACCCGTGCTCAAAGCAGCACTGTTCACAACAGCCAAAGGTGGAAGCAACCCAAGGGTCCACTGATAGATGAATGGATAAAAAAAAAAAGGTGGGATATACATACAATAAAATATTACTCAGTCTTAAAAAGGAAATTCTGACACAAGATACAACATGGGATGAACCTTGAAGACGTTATCCTAAGTGAAAAAACCAGTCACAACAAGACAAATACTGTATGCTTCCACTTACATGAGGTACCTAGAGTAGTCAAATACACAGGGCCAGAAAGTAGAGTGGCAGTTGCAAGGGGTTGGGGAGAGAGAATGGTGAATTATTGCTTAATGAGTGGGCATTTTCAGGTGAAAAAGTTTTGGTGTTGATGGCTGCACAACATGAATGTGCTTAATGCCACAGAACTGAATTCAAAAATGGTCAAAAAAAACAAAAAACTTGCATGGAAAATTGAAGTCTAAGAACAAATACACAAAAAGCTTTTTTAAAACACCCTATTCTGGTTGTCTTTTTAAAAATAATTTACCTTTTTTAGTATAATTTAGTTGTATATGTGTGTTTTCTTTCAATAAAAAAAAATCCAATAAATATTTAAAAATCAAAGGAAGGAAAACATTTGAAGCTCTATTTAGGTAAAGAGACAAAGATAAACTTTTTAAAATTGTTCTATGTTTAACAAGGTATGCTAAATTTCAGGAATTTTTCATATCCAATAAGATTAATCTATTACGTAGGTCTTTCATACAGTTTTTTACATAAGCAAAATGAAAACTAAAAAACATCTTGCAACTTGTCTTCCGCTAGTCCTCTCCTCTCCGCAGGCCTTCTCAGGGAGCACCGCCGGCTGTTCCGCTAAAGCAAGGCCCTCAGGGCGTGGGGAGAGCGGACAGAGCTTCACACGAACCCCCGCAGCCACAAGGCAGCTGCTGCGGCCCCTCACTCCTGAGGGACTGACAACCAACTGAGGAACTTCTAAGAAATCAAAATTCAAAATGAAGTCAGACAAAAAGAGAAAGCCTCACCTCACTGCGAGTAACCACGATCCTGACCAGGGTGGAGTCATCTGTGCCGGCGCCTTTCATAGAATAGTAGAGCCTCTCAGCAAAGAAGGCGGGGCGGTTCAGGGCGCACTGCACTGCAATGAGAGCGGCGTCAGAAACCTGTCCCCCTCCAGGTTCATCTGCACCTCTAGCCGGCCTTCCAGCATTTCCCATGAAATCACCTCAGACACCTGAAGTGGGTTAGAAATGTTCTCCCCCTTTGATTTTTCTCAGCATCCACCTTTCTTTCTAGATGCACTAAACAGGCTGCTTTCAATTCTAAAAGATTCCCTCTGGCCCCCCAAATTTTTATATATATATATACATATATATGTGTATATATATATGAATATATATATATTTTTTTAAATTTTTATTGACTGATTTTTAGAGAGAGGGGAAAGGAAAGGTGGGGCGGAGAAGAAAGATCAATTTGTTATTCCACTTATTGATGCCTTCATTGACTGATTCTTGTATATGCCCTAACCGGGGACTGAACTCACAACTTTGACTTATCAGGGTGATGCTCTAACCAACTGAGCTACTTGGCCACGGCTATCATATATTCTTGCATAGTCCTTAAGAAGGGCATATAGAATAAACATCAAACCATTCCGGCCCAGCCGGAGTGGCTCAGCGGTTGAGCACCAAACTACGATCCAGAAGATTGCGGTTCAATTCCTGGTCAGGGCACATGCCCAGGTTGCTGGCTCAATCCCCAGTGAGGGGCATGCAGGAGGCAGCTAATCAATAACTCTCATCATTGATGTTTCTCTCTCCCTCTCGCTTCCTCTCTCTGAAATCAATAAAGATATATTTAAAACAAAATAATAATTCCGAAACAACCCTAATTGATCATGCCACCAACCACTCATAGGGAACTGCATTATGCTAAGATTGGTTCAGCCTCTGCTTCAGCAGATTCTAGGGAGACTATATTAATCATCATCACTTAATAGGAACAACTGAACAACTATTCAAAGCCTCACTCATTTATAAACAAAACAAAGCAAAACAAAAATGTCTTACAGATGGCCTTCAAACCGCTCTCAACATTTCCAGAAAACTCACGACCAACACTGCTTAACAAATCTCGATTAGCCACCTGCAAACAAAGAGTATAGAGGTTAAAATATTTTCACACCTTAAAACAGAAGCCAGATCTTCAAAAGAAAAACTCACCCTGGAATAAGCCTCCATGGTAGCTTTCAGCTGAGGAAAGCTTCTTGTGGCAAGAATCATGTTAAAGCAAGATTCATCTGTCCCCAGCCTCCCCTCACCAGCTTGATAGAGACGCTGAGCATCTTCCTGAGCCAACTGGTGGTTAACATTCTGGTTCTCATCACGGTTTCCCTGCAAAAAAGGAAGGCAGGAATTGGAAAGAAGTGATACAAGTTCTATTAAAAATTTTCTTTCCAATCTGGTCACTTATGGACAATTTATTAAAGATTAATGCATAGCCCCTCAGTTGGCTGGAGCATCATCCTGTTCACCAAAAGGTGGAGGGTTCCATTCCCAGTCAGGGCACATAGCCCAGGTTAGGGTACGATCCCAGTCAGAGCATGTGTGGGAGGCAGCCGATTGATGTTTCTCTCTCACATCAATGTTTCTCTCAAATCAATTTTTTAAAATTTCTTTTAACAAAAAGATTAATGCATAAAGTCTGTCACACATAGCTTTCATTTCCAAAGGAATACACTAGTGTAACTAGTACTTTATTGCACTGCCAACTTTGAATTTTAGAATATATGATCATGATTTAATGAGGTTATGTTAAAATGAGAGGTTTTCAGGGCTTTGAGCACTAAATTAAACCAGAAAAGGTTTCCATAAAAGATTATATACACATATATATGATTTACACACACACACACACACAAAATGTCTCTACTGTAGATATAAACTACCACTTAAATGAAGAAATTATTATTCTCCTTAGCTCAGATTTAAGATCAACATGCATTATACTCAATTCCACTTTGCATTCATTAATGCAGCCTAAAGGTATGGAGTACTTGCTTTGTGCCAGGCTATGTTAGAGTTCTCCAGAGAAACATAACCAACAGGATGTGCTACATGACAGGAACAAGGTCTCTGCCCTCCAGGAATTTAAGTCAAGGGAGGGAACATATAATACGGAGGCTTCATGAACTTCCTTTCCTTTATCCAAATGAAATCTTAATACATAAGTATTTATTATGAATGTATAAATAAAAATGATGCATGAGCTTTTTAGAAGAAGGTATAAATAACTCAGGTTCTGCTAGACTGTGCCGATCTGTACCCCAAACTCTCCCCTGGGACAGGAGGGAAGAAAGGAGAGAGGAAGCTCTGAGCCTGAGTAGAGTAAAGCTTAGATGGGCAGTTGGTTTCTCTCAAAAACGGAACCACAAACCCAAACAAAGGAAAGGCTGTCCTCCAGAGTCTCGGTGTCTTTCTGAAGAACAAAATGGAGAGGTGTTCCCTAAAGGTGAGAAACCGTCTTGTGAAGAACCCTGGGCACAAGGAATATGTAGAAGCACATTCTAAGCGGATGACTGAATCCAGCACAGGAAGAGATGTTCAGGAAAAACTTCCCACACTATCGCCTTTAGATTCAAACACGTACGCACGGGCCCATTTTCCTAGGAAGCCATTCCTCTGCTCACTCCCTCGCACAGGTCCTGTTACTTTATAAAATGCTGGGCCTTGAACCCTGTAGAAAGACACTCCACACCTCATATATAATCATTTTTTAGTGTTAAATCTGTTCCTGTTTGTTTTCTTCTTCTTTTTAAATGCTAACCTACTCCCCAGCTCACACTGTTTATTCTGTTGTAAGCAAATTCAACTTCCTCCCACTCATTCGCATTCTTTTCTCACTTCCACATCCACTGGCTCTTGCTTGTTACTTTTTCTGCAACTACTTCCCTTGCTCTGAAGAGCCTCTCCTCTACGTCTAGATCCCTCAAGACTGTCCAACACTGTGCACTAACAGGATAGCCAGTAACTGCTGATATTGAGTCAGTGTGCTAGTCTTTTGCATCATCTCTTTCAAATAAACTCTTACCATCTCATTCTAAGGGTGTTTATAATATCACTCCAAATACCCTATTTGAGGAATTTTCTGTCACCTCTCCAGCACATCTTGGGAATCAGAATACGGAAGGTGCCAATTGCGATAGTTCTGTGAATCCTGAACACTTTTCTGCATTTCTGGCTCTCCTCACACTGTTCAGACCCATACAGCAGTTCCATGGCACTCCTGCGTATCTGTAGTTGATGGTACAACTTAACTGGTAGTAAAATGCTAAGTTTAAGAGTACAGATTCATCTCATGCTGAGACATAGTTTCAAGTTGATTTCTGATTCCATACAACCTTAAAGAGCTTAATTTCTGATTCCTTTCAAAAGCCACATCTACAGAAATAAATATCAATAGTGACTACAAAGAAATTTGTACACTGGGTTCTGTGTTGTCCCTCTTAAAGGTGGCAAGATTCCAAGGGGGCTAAATATTAAAAGAAATAAAGAATCCTCATTGGCAACAGGCAGCAAAGAATGTTCCCTCCACCCTCACACAAACATTCATGCTATACTCACCTGGCACATGGAAACAAGTAAACGTTCAAAATGCCCTGATGTATCTGACCTAATGTCCTTTTCAAGGTCTCGTCCAAATTCTGACTGATAACATCTGACAATTTCTTGGATTTCCTGATTAGTTCTTGTGCATAAAATTTCAATCAATACACGTTCCTGAGTTCCTGCTCCCTATGTGAAATAACAAAAGGGAGAATTATACAAGAGAAAAACAAAATCTCTGAAAGTTATTAAATCTTACTGTTCCATCAAATATTTTTGGTCTCCAGACCTGGAAAGCTCTATATATTCAGAGATATGAAAGAATATATGATTTAGCTGTCACTGTAAATTCAGAACTGCCACAATTTGTGGGATTTTTTGAAATAGAATAAAATATTCAAAATAAATGGCATACAGTACCTTCATTGCATTCCGTAAACTCCAGGCATCATAATATGTAGTTGGCATGAACAGGGCAAGGATCAGTTCTTCCATGTTTCCACTTAACTCTGATTTGAGGTCCTTGATTAAATCCTGTTTAATTACAAGTACAAACTAAGTATATGTGCTCTCCAAATTTTGTTGCTTAAATTTTTAAAGAAAAATACAGAAAATGGAATTGAATTGCTTTATGAAAACCTAAGTTTAAAATCTGAATATTATATACTAAGAAATAAGTAAATATATACATTCAAAATTATTACACTCAAGTAGATGTATTTTATTCATTCTATCAATAAAAACTTAAATAAATTCTTACTGAAGTTCCATCACTATATCAGGTACCAAAACAAGAGACACATGAAACAAAGAACAATTCAGATGAACCAAATGATAAACAGATATTTATTAGTATAAGAAACTGTTCTTGTTCTGTGAGGGAGTAAGAAATCCTCATCATGGTGTTCTTATTTGCACTTGATCTTAGCCAAAAGGCCAAGAAGCGATGGTGTTCTTATTTGGAACATAAGGTGAACGTCTAAAAGGAGATAACATAAGGCAGCCTGTACTCCAGCCCCAGATGTGTAAGCAGCACAGAAATACAGAAAAAGATGAAACAGAAAAAGTTAAAGGCTACAGGATGCAGAGAAAGCTTTTAGTCCAGATCTTAAAGAGTGTGTATAAATTAGCAGGCAAAGAGGAAGAAGAAAAGTATTTCAGGCAAGAAGGAAAAACAAACATGGGACAGAAAAGTGGTTCCTAGCCTAGGCTATGCATTAAAATAATCTGTGGAATTTTTCTTAAAAACAAAAACCATAAAACATTGATGTTAAGGAGGACTATTCAGAGATTCTGCATGTGGGTGTGTTTTTTTCAATTTTTATAGGAGTCTATTTGAGCCAAAGTAACAACATGTCAGGGAGCAAGATCTCAGATGCTCCTCTGTGTGTTTTTAAGTTCTAGAGGAGATTATGATAATCAGCTGAGACTGAGAATTACTAGTATAGGGGCAAGAATGAGCAAAGCTAGTTCAATGGAACAATAAGACAACCAATTTTGTCAGAGGGCAATGTTTTCACAGATTAGTAAATCAAAGTTGTAACTATATGCTTGGATTATTATTACCTCGAACACCAAGCTGAAGAATGTGAATTTGATTCTGCATGCTAGAGGAGCCACTGGAAACATGTACGCAAGAAAACAGCACTAACGTGGCAACAACAGGCAGGGTGGGCTATGATGACAAAGAGGCTATAGATGAGAACATTTAGGCTACTAGAATATCTAGGTAAGAAGTAATGAAGGCTTGGACTTCAGTGGTGGCAATGGAAGTGGATGAAAAAGTGGAAGGGATTAAGAAGTGCAAATGAAGCCCATCCGGGTGTGGCTCAGTGGTTGAGTGTCAACCCATGAACCAAGAGGTCACCGGTTCAGTTCCTGGTCAGGGCACATGCCCGGGTTGCAGGCTCGATCCCCAGTGGGGGGCGTGCAGGAGGCAGCCGATCAATGACTCTCTCATCATTGATATTTCTCTCTCTCTCCCTCTCCCTTCCTCTCTCTGAAATCAATAAAGACCTATTAAAAAAAAAATTCCTTTCTAAAACAATAAATAAATAAAAACATATTAAAAGAAAAAAAGAAGTACAAATTAAGAAGTTACAAAACAGTCCTGGGGATATAAAGTATAGCATAGGGAATATAGTTAATAATATTGTAATAACTATGTAGGGTGTCAGACGGGTACTAGATTTATCAGGGTGATCACTTCATAAGTTGTATAAATGTCTAATCACTGTGTACATCTGCAACTAATAAAATATTGTATGTCAACTATAATTGAAAAATACAAAAATTATTTTAAAACATTAAGTAGAAGACACATTTTTAAAAAGCCCTTTTACAGATGAGGTCAATAAGACATAGTCAATAACCAGTTGCTAGAACAAAGCAGTGCCTGGCATAGAGTAGACACTGAATAAATATTCACTGACTGACCAGCTGATAAAGAACCGGAATCAGAGAAGACCACGGTAGCCTAGAAGAAGAGTATTTTTAGTGATTAATAGGAATTTAAGAGAAAAGATGGCTGGGGATAAGGAAAATAGGCCATGAATTTAATTCTAAAGTGATATATGAGAAAATTCAGAATGGCATAGCACAGACTATGAACTAAAGAAATTCATAATATGAAATACACTTTATGAGAAGTGAGTCTGATGTTAAGCCCTAAGGAAATACAGAATTTGTGTTGTTTAATCAGCCTTAAGACTAAAGATGTGGGTATGGGCTGGGCAGAGAACGGCAGATAGAACAGGCAAGGTTGGACCAACCACCGGAGCTCCCCTCCCATTGTGAGAAAAGTAAACTGGATCCACAGGATGTTAGGACATTTTTAGGATTCCAAGGTAGACAGCAAATGAATGCTTTCCCTTTATAGCTGACAAACGATGGCACTTTTTAGCCACAGAATCTTGCTAGGTTTAGTCACAGATCATCCATTCAACAAATATTTATTAAGTGGGTATTTGTTATTGTTCCTGTACTTGGTGCTATAAATACAAAGATGAATATGAATGACATGGTTTGCCTGAGGTTTTACAAAGTGCTATGGGACCACAGTGGGAGAAGCAGCTAAATTCTGCCCAGAGCAGAGAGAAACTGCACAGAGCACAGAGTAGCTAATTTAAGCCAAATCCCGGAGAAGTTGTTTGCAGTGCAAAAAAAGAGAAAAAGGCGTCCTAGGCCAAGAGAACACCACGCACCAAGCACGGAAGTATCAAATGTCACGGTGTGTGCAGAGAATGGCAAGAAGTCTCACACAATCATAAATAAAGGATATGTTTAAGGGAGGGAAAGAAGTAGAAGATGAAGTCAAGGACCAAGAATAAGCAGGGGGGCCCGGCCGGTGTGGCTCAGCGGTTAAGCATCAACCTAGGATCCAGGAGATCGCGGTTCGATTCCTAGTTGGGGCACATGCCTGGGTTGTGGGCTCGATCCCCTGGGGGGGCATGCAGGAGGCCGCCGATCAATGACTCTCTCTCATCATTGATGTTTCTCTCTCTCTCTCGCCCTTCCTCTCTCTGAAATCAGTAAAAATATATTAAAAAAAAAAAAAAAGAATAAGCAGGGGCTATATAAGTCCTTGAATCCCACTCCAGGGAGAAGACTGAGAACCAAGCTATTGATCATGATTGTGGTCATAATCTACTTTCTACTGAACATCTACCACACACCAGACACAGTATAAGGTATGTTGACAAGATCAAGGACTACTCTAGAATTAGAAAGGCTTTTAAGAGAAAAAAATAACAAATACACCACCCCTGGGGTCTCTGGATGCAAGCTCTACAGGTTACTTCATGCTCACTCAATAAAAAAATTTTAAAAAAGCATACCTTTCCGTACATGGTCTTAAAAGCTGCTTTAATTTTTTGCCTTTGGTCGTTGGAACGGTTGGCCACAACGTCCACAATTGCCTGTTCGTCTGTCCCTGAAAGAATCATACATGTTTCAGTAAGGATAAAGTCTGCGCTGGATCCTCCTTGAGACATCTCTTAGATGCTTACAAGGTGCCTGGTGCCAGATTAAATTGAGGTATGTGCACACAGGCTGATACATAAATTTAGTTTATGATATCAAGCTTATTTTTACTTTAATCACTTAAACTTGTTATAAATAAGACAAAAATCTGTTTTCCTTACCAAAACCCTTCATTGCTTTACGAAGAATTTCTGCATCTTTTATAGCATCAAAGTTGGCAGCCGGTCGAATTGTTCCTTGAGTTCCCTGAGTCATCGCAGCAGGCTGAGAACAAGAGGCATAAAACCCAAGTCAGATACTGTGGCAATGATTTCATAATACATACATATACCCAATCATCATGCTGTGCACCTAAAACAAATACAGTGTTGTATGTCAATTATATCTCAATAAAACTGGGGGAAAAAGAATATGAAAAAAATGTTTGCCATCTTTAGTAAAAAAATACAAATTAAAAATAAAAATCCAAGGAGCATTTGAAATCTTGCTCCCTGGCGTATGTCCTCAGTTTGGCTCAAATAAACTCATAAAAAATTCAAAAAATCAAAATCAAAATCCAAGTCAGGACTTTCTGCTGACAACAACAAGACTTCCCTGGTCAAAACTGTGCAGCAAAGAGGCCAGTGTTTGCATTTTAGGACAAGGATATGAGCGACTGTTATCAGGGCTCATTCCGAAACAGGCAGGAAAGACATCTCTCCCTCCTGCCAAAAGACAGACACTAAACTTTCAGGAGACTAGTGAAGCTGCTGAAATTAATCACCATCCTCCTGGGCCTTGAATCCCACTTGGTATTCCTTGGAATTCCTTGGGATGCGGGATATGTTCAGAGGCAAGGAGGGGAGTGAAGGATGATGCCAGGGATCGAGAATGAGGAGGGGCTATGCAGTAAGTCCCTGCATCCTGCTGTAAGGAGAAGACTGAGAAACGTCGAATTGCACCTGAGTTCCTTCTTGATAGAACAGGAGAAAACGAGATGACTCCTGGATAGTGTGAGGTAAGTGGCAGGGTTTGATTTAAAGGCAAGAGTATAATAAAGGCTTTAGTAAAGTGGAACATGAGTAGCCTAATGAGGTTTTAAATAAGCAATATCATTTTGTTAGTATCTCTTCATTTCCTCTATGAGCCCTGATTATTAGACACGAAATAAAACACTGTGTATTAAGAAAAGCAAAAAAGGCAGCTGCTTTCTCTAGCCTGCCTGCTCTCTCTCTGAGAGTGTACTTTCTTTTTTTATTTTTATTTTTTCAGTTTAGTGCTAAGGCTAGAGGTTTATTATCCACGAGTGTACTTTTGTTTTTTGCTTTAATAAACCTTGCCACTGTTACTTAAACTTCTCCTAAAATAAATAAATAAATAAATAAATAGGCACAAAATGAAAGTGATGATTAGAGATTCCAGGAGGTAAAATATTCTTCATAGATTTTACAAGGAAATAAACCAGAAAGCAAAATGGAGACTATATTTTTTAAATAGAAATCTATGAGGAAATTTTTAAAAATTACCACATAACAATAACACAGTAATAATTGTTTCAGGCAAGAATCATCAAAGGATGTTCAAATCAGTGGGTAAAAGTTTGATCAAAATCAATTATCAGCAGGAACAGAGTAAGTCAACAATAAGAGCCTCCTGATGGGATGCAGAGCGGACACATCATCATTTCTGTGCTTATTCCTGCCCAAGTGGCATAACCTGAGTTTAATCATGAGGAAATATCAGACAAACCCAAATTAAGGAATGTGCTACAAAATAACTCTTTGAAAGTGTCAAGGTCATGAACAACAGGACTAAATAAAGATTGTTTCATATTAAAGGAAATTTAAGGGACATGACAACAAAGGCAATATTTCACCCTGGATTTGATTCTGAACCAGAGAAGGGCACTACAGGGGCAACTGGTGAAACATGAGTAAGGTCTACAGGGTGGATAACAGAATTATATCAGTGTAATTTACTGATTTTGACCCCTGTACTGTGTTTATGTACAAAATTAACATTTGAAGAATCTGAGTAAAGGGTATACAGGAATTCTGTGTGTACATTTTTTGCAATTCTTTTGTAAGTCTGAAATTACTTCAAAATTAAAAGTAAAAAAAATTTTAAAATGCAAAGCTTTTAAACAATTCAATAGTTTTCTTTGAATCCTCACCCAAAGATATTTTCCATTGCTTTCCAGAGAGAATGGAAGGGAGAGAGAAACAGAAACATTGATGTGAGAGAGACATTGATTGGTTTCCTCCTGCACTTGCCCTAACCGGGGCCAGGAATCAAACCTGCAGCTGAGATATGTGCCCTTGACAGGAATCGAACCCAAGACCCTTCAGTCTGTGGGCTGACACTCTAACCACTGAGCCAAACTGGCCAGGGCTCAACAGTTTTCTTAAAATATTCAAACCAAAGCTTAAGAGGGATGGAATGAAGCAAGATGATATTCTACCATAATTTTTTAAATTCAATTTTAATAATATATTTTATTTAACCAAATATCTCTAAAATATCATTTAACCATGCAGTCAACATCATTTCAATTATAAAATGATTCAACTGCTTTTTAGGAAACTGGAGCTGTATTCAGGCTTACACCCACTGAATACAGCAATGTGCCAGTACCTGTGGGGGCAAAGTAAATTAGGAGAAGTGGATCAGACCACCATTCACCAAACATTTTTACGGTCAATAATTCTTCCCACTCATTTACACTCTTACATTAACATTCTACCAATACACTTTACCAAACAATCGTTCACTAGTTTCTAAGCCAGGAATGTAAGTAGAAAACTAACAAAAACTGTTTGTACAGTGGTTTTAAGGAAAAACTAAAATTGTCCTACTTGTAGGAAATATCCAAATATAATTTTTTTCAACATATTGCCTTTACATGAGTGTTAATGTATCAAGAAACGACAAAAGTTTCCTTTGATGTAATCATTGTCACTAAAATCGTAAGTAGGGGAGAAGCCTTTTTATAATATATTGGACTAGACAGTAAAAGAAATTGACCCTCATCAATTACTGTTTGATGATTCTCGTTTTCTGTCAGCCCATTCTTTTTTTAAGAACAAAAAACTATTCTATTTTGCATCTCTAAGAAAACTGGTTTTGTTTATTCTTTGTTGACAGTCCAATTTGAAGTGAATCTTCATCAGAAATACTATCATCCTTCAGGCATTATATTAAGTTCAAAGAAATCAGGGTCCATGCTGTTGAGATCAAAACTCTAGGGAAGGGAGATTTCTCAGCACATTAAGTCCACACTATCTGCCACCAAAAGTTCCAACCTTCGATACCCATTTGATTCTAATATTCCTGCTGAAAAACTGCCATAAAATTAGAATTGGGTCAATCAAAAGAGGTTACCTAGCCCAACTGCCCAACCAAGACAGAAAATTTCTTTACATCTTCACACACACACCCCCTACAACCTCTACCGGAGGATTTTCAGTGACAGGGAACTCACCCCTCACAAGGTAACCTATTCCACTTCCATCTAAAAGCTCTTCTGAACATACCACTCTGTTAACTTCCATCTACTAGTTTTAGCTCTATCTTAAGGTGGTAATTGTTACACAAAATAAGTTGTGTGTTTCACTTTTAGTGTTTTGTTTTAAAAATCTTTTCTATTCAGTCATAAAATGTCTCTAAAATTATATGCATACGTCAACTAAAATTTAAAAATTGTCATAATGAATGATTAAAATAGTTACAGATTCATAATATGACTAACAACTTCAACAATAGAAGAAGGATTGAAAACAATTTACTACATGCTTTGGAGGAATATCATTTGCTGTATCAGCAAAGCAGCATTGTGTAACCGGGAGACCACTAGTCTCAGAGTCAGACAGCTAGGACCTGGTCTCAGCTTTGTCTTTCAGTAACTGTGTGGCCCTGGACAAGTTTCTTAATCTCTCTGCAGCTCAAATTCCTCAAATCAGGAAAGTAGGCCAGAAAATGGCTAAGGTATTTTTCTTCTAGCACTGCAATCCCTCTCCCAGCCTTTAAAAAAACTTGAAAATCCTAGATCTTTATGAACAGACAGTATAACAATAAATAAAATTGCCCTGGCCGGGTGGCTTAGTTGGTTGGAGCATCTTCCCATACACCAAAAGGTCGTGGGTTCAATTTCCAGCCAGGGCACATACCTAGGTTGCAGGTTTGATCCCTGGCTGGGGCACGTAGGAGAGGCAACCTATCGATGTTTCTCTCTTACACTGATGTTTCTCTTTCTCTCTCTCTTTCTCCCTTCCTCTCTCTCTCTAAAATCAATAAACATATAAATAAATAAGAAAATCAAGATAAAGGTAAGCATACAAGTACATTGCTTATGTTCCTAGTAACTTGCATAAGATATAAAGAATTAACAAGGCAATTAAAGAATAAAAGTTAATATTAAAACAAGGAGCTATACAGAGATGCGGCAAAATTTGACATATAGGAGACCTTCTGGGGCTATTGAGAAATCAATTCAACAGACAATTAATTGGCTACCATGTTTAAAGCCCTGCCAAGCACTACAGGGACATAAAGGTATACTACCAGATACAGTTGAGCTCTCAGGAAGTGGTGAGAGACAAATACACAAGAAATCAGAAACAAATGAAGGCATATGTAGGGAACCTAGTAATTAATGAACAGCAGAAAACCTTACTCACTTCACTGCTATAATCCAAAGAAACAGGAGAGAAAACAGGATAGGAAGGAAAGGATTCTGTATTGATCTGAAAGGAGAGTGGAGAGTTACAAAGGTAAAAATGGAAGACAAAACCCCACTTCATAAAACACTGCCAGAAATACCAATCACCCCCGTCGCCCAAGTCCATATTTATAACTGACAGTGAAGGAAGGGAAAAAAGAACCAAACCCATGCAAAGAGCCCAAGTGAATGTCTATGAAAAAGTTGTAAGTATCAGCACCTGTGAGTTGGCTGGAGTGTTTGTCTTATCAAAGTCATCCGGATACTACTTAAAGCAGATAAACCAGAGAGCATGGAGTCTATCAAAAGCAAAGTTTAAAGTCTTAAGTGATGTTACAGACAAGTGGTTTTCAACCTTTTTCATTTCGTGTAACACATAAACTAATTACTAAAATTCTGGGGCACACCAAAAAATATACTATATTTTTTGCTGATCTGACAAAAAATAAATAGGTATAATTTTGATTCATCACACCAGACGGCTATTGTGTTTTTATTTGACAATCCAAGAGAAAAGAGGTCATTGTCTCTGACTAAATAGTCAGGTACTGCATGTTCTCAAAATTCTTGTGGTACATGGTTGAAAATCGCTGTTATAGACCATTTCATCTGCTTCATGGAAACCTCTACTGTGGCAAAGGAGCAGTGCTCTTCTTTGGCACTATCCAATTACCCCGACTAAATTTATAAGATAGGAGCAAAAATACCTGACTAGAGTAAGGAGCTTGTCCTCCAGGATACTGAGAAGGCATCTGTCCTCCAGGAAAGCCACCTACATACATACAGCAAACAAGTCTTTTATGATCTAATTTTTCAAAACAGCATTGGTTATTATGAATATGGAAATATATAAGAACATTCACATTATGTTAATCATTAGGTTAATTTTTTGGTATAACTTACTAAACCTAAAACAAACTTTGGTCATAAGAACTTTAAAAAAATATTCCATGTCCTATATAATATCCTAACAAATAATACTTTTTTAAAAACACTTAAACCAGATTAAATTCTGATTCCACCTGGAAAAGATGTAAGGACATAGCTCTGGGGGTATTTCATTTGTGGTACAGGAGTGAGTAGAGAGGCTCCTGAAGGTTTTTTGCTTTTTGGCTTTGGGGCATTATTTTTTGTAACTGAAAAAGTGGGTCCTTATTTCGATCTTACTAATTATATTTTTCATCAAATTAATACACATCATGAAACCATGTATTTAAAATTATTTACAGAGGTACTTAGCATAAACATCTGCTGACAACTCTCCCAAACAGAAACTACGTTTTTTCAACGGCACTTGAAAAATTGAAAATACCATGCTACTGTTTCTCTGGACAGTGGTACATACCGGGTAGTGGGACCTGTGTTGGGCCACCTCCGTAAGACTGCGAGGGTGGCTGTGGATAGCCTCCAAAGCCAGCTCCACCTGCTGGGGCTCCAAACCCGTGGCCTGGAGGAACCAGAGAAAAGAATAAACTCTAGTGACAGTTCTCATGATCAAACAGAAAACTTTAGAAAAATATCTACTATTTACAGTGGGGGGAGAAATGTGCTATTAATGCTTTTGGTCCCTTTTGGTCTAAATTCAACTTCTCACTAACTCCTTCCCCATTAAAAAATATATTTAAATTTTTTACTTCATTCATTTGCTTTACTAACTTACAGTATAAAAACGCTAAGTTTTTTGTTTTGTTTTGTTTTTTACCTTTGGACAAAGATATCCTAAAGGTCACAATCACGCTAATTGAAATGCCTTAATCTGCCCTGGCCGGTGTGGCTCAGTTGGAGCATCATCCCAAAAGGTTGCCTGTTTGATTCCCAGTCAGGGCACATACCTAGGTTGCAGGTTCAATCCCCTGTCCCCAGGCGGGGCAGGAGGCAACCGATCGATGGTTCTCTCTCTCTCTCTCTCAAATCAGTAAAAATATCTCCTCCGGTGGTGAGGATTAGGGAAAAAACACCAAAAAGAAACACCTTTATCACTTCTTAAGATTACAAATAACCAAAATGCTCCATATGGGTCTTTTATTACTATGCGATTTCTTCCAATTCCTTTCCCAACACAATTTTTGAGCTTGTCCCCAGTTTTTAGGGCCCCCGAGAATGTTTACCCTTCTGTGTTGCCAGCTGTGCCCTTGCTGTCTAAGGCAGAAAGCAGGCTACGAGCTACTCTGACCTCACACAACACAAGCAGGAATGAAGAGGGCCGGGCGAGGGCTGTGGGCTGAGTCGCTGGCCCATAACTCACCTCCGGGGTAGGACGGAGCTCCCCCTGGCTGCGGGGCGCCGGGATAGCCCCCGGGGACTGGATAGCCTCCGGGGGCAGGGTAGCCTCCAGCTCCTGGGTAGCCACTACTTGGCGCTGCTGGGTAGGCACCGCCTCCCATTGGAGGAAAGCCGCTAGGATAAGGATACTGACCCGGAGGGGGGAAAGATGACTCCTGACCCCCAGGCTGAAAAACCAGAAAATATTTTCAAATGAATGTGATCATAAAGAAATAGGACCCATTTAAAAAAAAAAAGAGCAAACAGAAATGACTGTGAAGGCCTAGCTTTTTCTTGTCCATATTAAAAGCCCCATTAGAAGTCTTGGTATCTTACACTAATTTTTCAGGACGCTTGTCTGTCAGAACTCAGTTGAAAATTTAATTCTACCGTTGCCAGGGGTCTGTTTCTCTATTTGGGAGTAAGAACCAGGGTCCTTCCAAACGTTCAGGAACAACTAACAAAACTCATTAGTTCTTTCAATTTCCTAGCACCTAGAAATATGAGAAAGATCCACCCCTCTACCCTAAGGAAACTGACAGTTCTGTAACACACTTGGACCTGTTACACAATAGAGAGAAAAAAAGGTGACCTGAGTCACACATGGGGTGTGAAATTTTGCACATGGTTCAGACCAGACAATGTCCAAGTGCAGCAGAGATTGTCACGTGTTCACTAAACTTCCTCCCCTCTCCACAAAGTCAGGCTGTATTTCCCAGGCCCCCTTGCAGTTAAGTAGGACCATATGACCAAATACTGGTGGGTGAATGCGGACAGAGCAATATACACCACTTCCAGTCTGGCCCCCACTCCTCCTGCCCGTCCTCTACTCTGCCTTCCTCTCTCTCCCTTCATCCGCCAGCAGAGGGTCCAGTGGAGGATCTCAAGGTGCTAGATGCAGAGCCAATACCGGGAAGGAGCTTGGGAACCTGAAAGACTACCTGGAACAAAGCCTTCTCCCCACC